GTGTGAATTATTATCTTTTAATGAGGGTTTGTCAAATTGTAGTGCTCATTCCCAGTGAGGGTTGGGGAGGGTGACTATATGATTTCTATGTGAATCTACAGCCCTTTCTCCAAAGGGTTCAGGGAGTACCCTCTTTCATATTTCTCTATTTGTATAGAATGATCTGTCATCAATGGGCCATGCCTTTCCACTAGAAGCTATACTGGGTGTTGTACACATTTAATTGTCCTTAAAATGCCAACACACCAGTAAAAATCAGTTCTGTTTCAAACTTAAACAATGGCAGTTATCGAAGAGGCCATAAGCTGGCTCTTATTCAAACATACACTTAGAGAAAGAGGGAAAGTGTCTTACTTTGCCCAAGGGCAGAATGAACTTCAACTTCCAGTTCTAGAAATCTGGAGGACACCTGGAGCCAGGCATGGGGTGTGTAGGGGAGTGGGTGAGTCTTTGGTGCCCAAGAGGGAAATGCTTTCCTCAATTAAAGGGCCAGAGGGAACTTTGGGGGTTTCAGAACCAGGAAGAATTGAAAGGAAGAAAAGGCGTGCCTGTAATCCCAGCACTTTGGGAGGCCGAGGAGGGTGGATCACGAGGTCAGGAGTTTGAGAACATCCTGGCCAACAGGGTGAAACCCCATCCCTACTAAAAATACAAAAATTAGCCAGGTGTGGTGGCAAGTACCTGTAATTCCAGCTACTTGGGAGGCTGAGGCAGGAGAATCACATGAACCTAGGAGGTGGAGGTTGCAGTGAGCTGAGACTCATGCCATTCCACTTCAGCTTGGGCAATAGAGCCAGACTCCATCTCAGAAAAAGAGAAAAAAAAAAAAAAGCAGCAAAACTTGTATTGGGCAACCTATAATAAGCCAGACACTGTCATCTTACGAATCTCATTTCATTCCTATCCTATTAAATGACAGAATGTGTTTGGTAGGAAAGTCCATCCCAGACAAAGTTTAGGAACTCACTCAAAGATCAGAACCAAGAAGATGAATATCTAGCCTTATGTATGTTTCAGTAAAATCCAGAAAGTGCCATGACTACTTTTTCAGCATTTCTTATAACCAATTAACTTTATTTCCATATATTTTAGTGACTCTCAATGTTGGCCACATATTAGTATCCCCTTGGATGCTTTGAAAACATGCTAATATCTGTGCTCCATTCCATCCCAATCAAATAACTCCTTGGAGGGGTAGACAAAGAGGCAAATGTTACAAAGAAAATCTCCCTGAGTTATTTTAATATGTACTTGAGAACTGCTGCACTCACTTGCAGAAAATCCGTTATAAAACGAAAAGGGATTTGTGCACTTTTTGCAAAGATTGCATGTAAGAGAAGCTAGGAAATGGAAACACATTGCTGAATCTGGTTGAAGAAAGAGATGAGATTTGATTTGGTAAGTCTAGCAGACCTACTCAAAACTGCCTGGGAAGATCCAGGGAACACCAGAATACTAGAAAAAATTTGCTTCTGTTCCTCTCCCAGAGCTTTGACCTGTAAAAAAGCACTGGTTACCACAGGCCACTGCAGACATACCATATCATTTGAATAGTGGCTGTCCAATTCTACCCATAAGTTTTAGGTCAGCAATTCTCTGAGCCATGGGCTACTTGTCACTCACTGTATTACAGAAATATAAGAAATCAGGAATGTCTAATTGGCAACTCAGAGTGTGGATTTTAAAGAAACAATTCGCCGGGCGTGGTGGCTCACGCCTGTAATCCCAGCACTTTGGGAGGCCAAGGCGGGTGGATCATCTAAGGTCAGGAGTTGAAGACCAGGCTGGCTAACATGGCGAAACCCTATCTATACCAAAAATACAAAAAAAGAAAAAAATTAGCCAAGCATGGTGGCAGGCACCTGTAATGCCAGCTACTCAGGAGGCTGAGGCTGGAGAATTGCTTGAACCTGGAATATGGAGGTTGCAGTGAGCTGAGATCACCTTACTGCACTCCAGCCTGGGTGACAGAGTGAGACTCCATCTAAAAAAAAAAAAAAAAAGAAAAGAAACAATTCCATAAAGATAACTCTTGGAAAAACATCAAAAATTACAGTAATGTAATTTCAGATGACTGTAAAGACCAATAATTTATCTTGCTGTTTATGAAGATGAAGAAATAAAGGCTCATACAGAGTCATACAGAAATGAAAATAGTCCAAAATCAAATCTAACTGCTCACAGAAAGCTGAAAACATAGCAGACCCTCAATATACTTTTAATTATTGATAAACTGATTGAGACTTATTTTGAGATTTGATCAGTTTTTATAAAAGTTTACATGTTTTTGTATTTTTTTTTCATATGTACACGACCTTCACTGTGGAATAAGTATATAAACTGCTTTAACAGTTAAAAAAGTGGTTTAGGTTTTTGATGCTGATCACAAAACATGAAAGGAAAAATATCCTATTTAATAAAGAAAACATATGAAGGTAATTTTCATTATCTGTAGAACTTAAATGAGGATTAATCTTTAACTTAGAAAAAGTGCAAAGTGTCTTCTCCTGTCTTTCTGGTATCAATAGGGCTGGCAGCATTGCACAGCTCCAGGGGGCGCCTTACACATAGTGATCTCTGTGCTTGCCCCCTGCTCATCCAGAGTTGTACAGGTGCCATGCTATGCCATTTTACTTGACAGCCCTGGGCAGCAGGGCCCCTAAGCAACATTCTTAATGGAAGGGCAAGGAACACATCCATTAAAGTGCAAGGTATTTGTTTCATGGTAATCACTACTACAAATAAAAAACAAATTGAAAATTTTAGTACCCAACAAATACACATTTAGCTTTTCTCTTTGAGTGCTGGCAGAGAACGCTGCAGCAGAGCATTCCTGAACACACATGTTGGTGCCACCATCTTCATGTCTATGACTTGCCAGTGGCCAGCCCCTGTCAGCAGTCCTCCCCACATTCCTCTCTACGACACATCCTAGGTCATGGAGGGGGAAATGTTTTCCTGGGAGAGTACTGGCTCAAAGGGAGGGAAAAAGTAACTGAGGGATCCACAAGTAATAGGCCACCTGATTTTTTTTAGTGCATTATAAAACATTTTTGGACGGGTGCACTGGCTCATGCCTGTAATCCCTGCACTTTGCGGGGGCTGAGGTGGGCGGATCACCTGAGATAAGGAATTCCAGACCAGCCTGGCCAACATGGTGAAACCTTGTCTCTACTAAAAAAAATTTTTAAAAATACAAAATTATCCAGGTATGGTGGCAGGCTCCTGTAATCCCAGCTCCTCTCGAGGGTGAGGCAGGAGAATCACTTGAATCTAGGAAGCAGAGGTTGCAGTGAGCCAAGATTGGGCCACTACACTCCAGCCTGGGCAAAAAGAGTGAAACTCCACCTGGAAAAATATTATTGTCTACTTTTGAAATTAAGGGAAAAACATGTATGTTTTATCTTCCAGACCATACCAATTAAAAGTGGAAATTCCAGGAGTTAGGAGAAAGGGAACAAAAAGAGAAGGTGGTAGAGGAGAGGGGAGACCAAGTGAAGAGGATGGACAAGAAACTATAGAAATAAGAGAAGAGATCATGGCAAATAGAGGATAGAGGCATGAGACAAGAGAGATGGAAAGGGGCAGATGAGAGAAGAGGGAAGAGAGTCTGGGTTCTGCGTGGATTGCGCTATTTGGGTACGGTGTGCATTCCTTTGGGCTGTTAACATTCTTTCAAGATAAGAGCTCCAAGGAGTTTTCTAACTTAATCTCCGAAGTGGCATACTATCATCACTTCTGCCAGGTTCTGTTGGTCAAGCAGACCAGCCCTTACAAAGTGTGCGGGAGCTACTCCAGGGTATATGAATACCAGGAGGATGGGATCCCTGGGAATGACTTGCAGCTTAGGTAGCATGGTGGGCAGAGCCCCTAGCCTTGGGTGAGATGGGGGGAACTCGGAAGTACAGTACCATAATGTGGTATGAACTGATCTGAGTGAATGTGTTTGAACACTCACCACATGCCAAGAGCTGTTCTCATCTCTTTGCATGCAGTATCTCATTTAACCCTCTTAACAATGTTAGGAGGCAGGCACTCTTTATCCAGAGGAGGAAACTGAGGTACAGAGATTAGTAGCACAGTGACAGAGCTGTTATAACAAAGGACTGGTCAGGAGCTGAGGGGAGACTGGGTGTGAGGAAGGTAAGTGACTGTCACAGTGTCCTATGGGATTTTTCCTAAATGATAATAAACCACCCTCTATAGTTCTTCAACCCACCCATCCATGCAGGGCTAGGATTCATTTGGTTCTGGCTATAGCAGCTTTCCAGGGACCAATCCCACTTCAGCCTAAAGCACCCCATAGGTTATCATTTAATCTGCAGCAGGACTAAGCCTTAGACCAGAAATTCCTCCCTGACAGGCTCCCTGGAATGGTTCCTACATAGCTGGGTCTCCTTTCCTGACAATGCCGCCTGCCCTGATGCTTGATGTAACTCAGCCATATCTCCTGCAGTTGGGAGAGGCGGGGAATGACGTTTTGTGTTTGAACCTAGCCGATCAGGCTCCTGAAGAGGTCAGGTAGGCTGTGGAAAGCACAGCTGGTGATTACCGTTTATTACATGACACTAAGTCCCCAACACACGAAATCTGGGCTTCCCCAAAGCAGACAGTTTTCTTCCACCTGTTCCTCAAGTATGGAAAATGCCCTCCAGTGGAAATGGCTTTCCACTCTGCTTCTGCTGAATTTTCCTCCAAGATTTCCTGTAACTGTGGACTGCCAGCTCCTCCCTGATGTCTTGAGGCACCACCCCAACCTGTTCTTGCTGCAATCCACAAAGCTCCTATCAACATCTTGACTTTCCCTCCAGTTTTCTTCCATTTTCTCCCCCGTCTATGTTTACTGCCGTATCCTTCTTTCCAGCCTTTCTCCTTCATCTTGCCCTACAAAGCCACACCTGAACCACAAGTGCCAGAGAGTTTGATCATTTACCTAATGTCAACAAAAGAAAAAAAAAAGTAAGCTCTAGAGCCGGCTTGGCCTGAAGCACCCAAGCAGAGTTAACAAGTGGGGCCAGGGCACCCTCCTAACCTCCACCTCGCAAGGAACTCAGAACTCTGAAACGGGGAAACGGCCAGGCCTGCTGATTTAATCTAAGTCCCGAAGTCTCCAAGAGATCAGACTGCAGATCCCAGTCCCCTGAAGTAAGAGAGGAGAGGACCACAGCAGTTGGAGGACAGCGCGAGGGCCAGGCGGCCCAAGATGCGCAGGCCACGCAGTCTCGCGGACAAGTGACCCTGGAGAGCCTCCAAGCGCCCGGGTGGGGCCGCGATCGCGCCCCGTCAGTCACCCTAGCATGTGGGCGCGGCAGGGCGGCGCGGGCGGGCCGGCTGCGGGAGCTGTTTGGCGTCGCGGCCTGAGTGTTTGCCCAGCCCGCCTGCGCCGCTCGGGGCGCCTCTGCGTTTCCCTCCCTCCCTTCCCCGACGGCTTCTGGCAGTCAAGTGGATGTGGCGGGCGACCGGGCCACCTTGCCTAGGCGCGCCCAGCACTGGTAGGTGCTGGGGGTGGGGAGAGGCTTTGGGGAGAGGGTGCATGGGTTTGGAGTTGGGGGAAGGGAATTTCCTCCGGGCTTGCAGGGGTACCTGGGAGGCGCAGGGCCCAGAGCGGGCGGGCGGAAGACTCACCCCGCCTCCACCCCTCCACGGCGCGCGGGGCGGGCTCAGGTGCGGGGCTGAGCGCCTAGCGCGGCCGCGGCGGGTGTCCGGTGTCCGGTGTCCGGTGTCTGTAGCCGCTGGCTGGGTGAGTGGTGGTACCCGGGGCCCCGGGACTTGCAGGGGGTAGCGGGGTGAGCTCCTAGGGGGAGAGTCTGCCGGGGCTGAGGAGACTTGGGGAAGTTCTGGGATCAGGCGAGGACTCGCGGCGCGTGCTACCACCCGAGTGGATTGCAGGCCCCGAGAGGATCCGGGCTGGCCTGGAGTTTCTAGATTCCTAGCAGGAGCACAGCCCCGTCCTGCGCCCGGAGATCTTCCAAAAGGGAAGTCCCGGGAAACGGTGGCAGCCGGCACAGCACCCCTGCAGCGCGTTCCCTGCGTGCCGGCACCCAGGGGCGCCCCCACGTGGGGTCCGGGCGCGCTCGGAGGCACGTGCAGCGCCGCCTCCCTGGGGCTCAGACCCAGACCTGGTGCCCACTGCTGGACTCGGAGGTCACGCGGGCCCCGGGAGAAGCCACAGTTTGTAGATTTTCTGAGTTGTCTCTAAGCTTCACAGGAAGCTTAGAGAAGCAGCAAGCATGGAACCTCCCCCTTTCAGACAGATGCTCCTCATTGCCGAAAAAGGCTTTTGTTTGATTGCTGTTTTAATAGAAACAACGACTTGGGTGCCATTATTTTTAGATTGTGAATAGATAAGTGTAAAGTATTCAGGGGCATAGATTTGGCATGAGTGGAATTTTCTAGGTATACTAAATCTGTGTGTACAGTAAACTCAAGTTTCTGAAGAATAGTATATATTTGCAAAACTTGCCAAATTGCTGTCATCTCTGGTAATTTGTTTCATGGTTAAAAACAGCCCTTTTGCTGGTAGATGAATAAGATAAAGTTTGAATAAGAAAATAAAGTTGGACCACAGAGATGGCTGTTTTAAAGGAATTAGAATTCAAACTATTGTTAATGTTATAGTTACATTGTCGGTACTACAATACTTTTAGTTATTTTTTATTTTATTAGGCCGTTGCAAAAGTAATTGCGTTTTTTCATTGTTGTTGTTTTGTTTTTGTTTGTTGTTTGTTTTTGAGACGGAGTCTTGCCCTTTTTAGCCCAGTCTGGAATGCGATGGCGTGATCTTGACTCACTGCAGCCTCCGCCCCCAGGGTCCAGGTTCAAGCAATTCTCCTGCCTCAGCCTCCCAAGTAGCTGGGATTACAGGCAGGTGCCACCACGCCTGGCTAATTTTTGGATGTTTAGTAGAGATGGGGCCAGCTGGTCTTGAATTCCAGACTTTGTGATCTGCCTGCCTCGGCCTCCCAAAGTGCTGGGATTACAGGCGTGAGCCACTGTGCCTGGTTGTAAATTGCAGTTTTTTTATGGCAAAAAACAGAGTTACTTTTTTTTTTGGCCATAAAAACTGCAATACTTTTGCAGAGATCTAATATTTTTAATTTTTGAGACAGGGTCTCGTTCTGTCACCTAGGTTGCAGTGCAGTGTATGATCTCAGCTCACTGAAGCCCCAAACTCTGCAGCTCAAGCAATCCTCCCACTTCAGTCTCCCAAGTAGCTGGGACTATAGGTGCGGGCCACCACACCTGGCTACTTTTTATATTTTGTGTAGAGACAGGGTTTTGCCATGTTACCCAAGCTGGTCTCAAACTCCTACGCTCAAGCAATCCACCCACCTCCACCTCCCAAAGTGTTGGGATTACAGGTGGAGCCACTGTGCCTGGCCTACTCTTTTTATGATTTAGGCTGTATCTCAGGCCTTTTAAACTTTTTATTTTGTTGAGGCATCAGAGTTATCCAAAAGACAGTTGTATTGTAGAACAGTGTGAAGGTGGCATCAGGCCAAATCTATGGTATCATGGAAAACAGCTGATTCTCTCACCCTTGAGCAATTGGTGTTCAGAATAAATAGCAGGTGTGGGCTTGTTGCTTATCTTTCTCTTAAGAATGGTTTTTTGTTAGCTGAGCCTTTCCTTTATTGGATCTTGAATAACTGGAGGTTTGCTGCACTTGATATATTATGGGAAAGTCCTTTGAATCTGAGTCAGTATCAGCAATGATTATTTGTCCTTTTCAGCGAGTGAAAATGGGAAAACCTGGTTAGTTAATTTCCTCATTTCTATTTCTTCTACCCTGGCTCTACCAGGCTCTTTCACTTCACAGTGGATTATGTCACACAAACCACATATTATGAGGAGTCACAGACTGAACTGGCCCTCATTTCACAGATGAGGAAACTGAGTCCCAAGAAGGTGAGGTGACAGCCTAGAGTCGTGCTGCTCATTAGAGGCAGAGCTGGGAATTGAGGCTGAATTTTCTCTGAGTGTCTTGGATACACTGTGCTGAGCTTGAGTTAGGGTCTGAGAAAGGCTTGGGGTGGGGATTAGGGGATGGAAGTTAGGGGGTGAGGGGGAGAGGTAATTTACACCAGCACCATTCAGCAGCCGCAGAATAGCCACATCGTCAACAGCCTGACCACAGAGAGTTGTCGGCTGGGTCCCCCAAGTATTCTTGGAGGCACAAGGAAGCCAGTGTCTTTCCTTCAAGATGAACTAGTTAACTTGAATGTTAGAAAACCACATTTGCTATAAAAGGCAAAACAACATAAAATGGAAATAATATGAGCATTTCATCACAGAGTTGCCGTGAACCTCCTTGCCCGTGTGCTGTGCTGTTTGCGCTGTTCTTAGTGTTTGTTTGGAAGGGGAAATTGTGGAGACGAAGTGGATGACTAAGTGCAAAAGGAAGTGGAGAGGACTAAGTGTCTGGCGGATAAATGGGTAAACAGTGTCCACACCTGGGCTACTGTGGCATTCAGTTCCTTGCTGTCCTTCCTGGCTGGGGTGTGTTCAATGCCTGGCTTCCCCTAAGCTTAGCTGCAATTGACCAAGAGCAGGCTTCTGCCCTGTGTCTAGTACCATCAGTTCAGCATTTCTGGGGCTGCAGGAATTTGCTGACTTTCATTCTGAAATTTCATACATGGCACCACATCCTGCTGTTCTGATTCTGGGCACACAAACTCACAAAAAAAGGCCTCTGTGTTGTGGATTATAGTGAAACTGACTTACAGCTGAACTGCCCAGCTCTGACACTTACCAGCTGCTGACCTGTGCTCTGTCTTCCTAATCTGTAAAATGGGCATAGTGATGGACTGGACTCAAAGGGTCATTGTGAGGATGAAGTGGCTCATGTGTGTAATCCCAGCACTTTGGGAGGCTGATGCAGGCGGATCACCTGAGGTCAGGAGTTCAAGACCAACTTGACAAACATGGAGAAACCCCCATCTTTACTAAAAATACAAAATTAGTCGGGCATGGTGGTGTATGCCTGTAGTCATAGCTACTTGGGAGGCTGAGGCAGGAAAATTGCTTGAACCCGGGAGGCAGAGGTTGCGGTGAGCCAAGAGGTGCCATTGCACTCCAGCCTGAGCAGCAACTAGAGTGAAACTCCATCTCAAAAAAAAAAAAAGAACAAAGATGGTGCCTGGTACAAGAATTGTTAGCTGTGTTATCAGGAATATGCAACGGGTCGGGGAGAGAGGAAGAATGTGACTTTGGCATGTTAAGAGTTTTAGATTTTAGGTTCTGCCCACCCCTTGAATTCACTGTAATCAAAATGGGAAACAGAGCAGAAGTCTCAAACCTTACTGAACTGTTCATTTTCTGCCGTGCTTGATTTCTGCAAAAGTCAACCATTGCAACATAGGGATATTTACTGGAATGTCAAGGAGCCATTCCCCTTGGTTTCTTACCACTTTATCTCAGAGCCTGTGGATTTCATTGGCTCCACCCTTTGAGAAGCTGCTAGAAACAAAAAGGCAAGAAATCATTACAAGACATTCATTTTTTTGGTCATTCAAGCCTTTGAGGGTATCTTAATGCAAAATACAAAGTTGACAAGGGGACCTGGGAGGGGTGTGACATGACTTTTAATCCGCTAACATTTTTTCTCTTAATATTTGGTTCCATTTGGATTCTGGTAGTTGAATGCTGCCGAGATTATCGGTTGTAGTCGGTAGGGATAGTTGTAATTTCATCAAGGCTCTGGCTTCACAATGAATAGTCAGCGAATCTAAGTGCTGTGTATCCACGCTGCTCTGGGATAGCCTGGCTATTGAGTGTGCTTGTCTCAAAAGACTGGTGTTAAGTCAAGAAACAACTTTGCAAGGAATAGGGGGAAGAGGGGAAGCTGAAGGAGGCTCCCAGGTGGTGAGAGGAACATTACACATCTAGCCGTATCAATGACAGGTAAAGGAAATAAGAGAAACCAACACTACTATAGCCACAATGTGGCTAAGTGACTTGTCTGAAGTTTAAAAGTGTTTGAACATAATATGGGGAAACAAGATATTTGAGAGCATGTGGCAAAGTGGTAAGATTATTGAGGTGTTATTATAAGTGCCAAATTATTGGTCAATTTCTTAGAACACAGGTGACTCCGAAAAAGTTGTACTAAGTTTTTTTGTTTGTTTGTTTTAATCTTACTATATGAAATCCAAAGTCTTTTGTTTTCCAGAATGGAAATATTTACATAGTTTTCTTCTCATTACAAAAGTATGATGGTTTGTGAGACTTAGAAAGTATTTTTTAAAAAATGGGAGAGAGAAAGAAAAAAAACAGTATGACAGTTTGGTAATAGTTTTAAGCCAACCAAATAGAAATGTGGAAAGCAGAATGAAAGCTCAGTAGGATTTCCATCCCCAGGAGAACCTCTGGGAAGCCACTGTGCATGCTCAATTTATAGCTTCTCTTTCAAGGAACCATATAGTAAACTCATATAATTCAAGGATCCTTTGTTATAAGCCTAATGACCTCTTCATGTCTGTCAATTTAGATTTTATTGAACTAGATTATCTGGAAAAAGCACACCTAAAACTTGGTGACCTTCCAGTGTGTAGATGAATGTTCTGTCTTGCACCTGCCCTGATTTTCATGGCCCTAGTAGGTTGTCTGGGAATTACATTATTCTTTTGTGAAGATGAAAGTACAAAATTTATTTAGTGTTTATTTAGTGCTATGTTTTAAAGAAATTACGGAAGTTGCCTAATGGTCTAATTTAGATTTTTTCCTTTTTCTTCCTTGAGTATGGCTCTATTTGGGTTTGGTTTGGGGTAAGTTACTCTGCGATATCTCAAAAATGGTATTTTCTTTTGAAATAGGTACTTTGCAAAGAGCCTTTTAATTTCTTCCTGTGACCTTTTCTTTTCTTTCTTTTTTCAGCCACACAGTTGGTGGTTTGTTAGGCTCTGGGATAATAATGTATTTGCTTAGTTGGGAGCGAGACAAACCTCTGTGAACTTTTTTATTTCCTTGAGATTGGCCTGTATAAAGTTAGGGTTTGTTTTGTTTTGTTTTTTGATAAAGTATCTTTAGAAATTACAGGATAGAGGTTATACAAACTCTTAACAAAGCGTGCCTCAGGTTTTCTTCTTCTCTTTTCCCCCTGAAATGGAAAGTGATACCGTATTTCCTCCAAGCTTTTCTTTTAAAACCTGTCCTAGCCAGTGTCCACACATTTTAACACACTGCCTGAATTAGGGCTCTTTCTCTTTGCAGGTTCATTGAACAGCATTTTGGACAGGACATTTGGTGCCAGGTCTCAGGAGCCAGTTTGCTGAATTATTGTCCCAGTCAGCCAGGATCGTGAGCCGTTTGGGAAAGTTCGTGGACACGCCCAAGTGCCAGGACAGGTGGAGGCACACCTGGAGGCCAGTTTCAGGAACTTTTGCCACAGGTATAACAGACTCCGGAACTGCAAAGATGCTGAAACAGATATTGTCGGAAATGTACATAGATCCTGATCTACTGGCAGAGCTCAGCGAAGAACAGAAACAGATCCTGTTCTTCAAGATGAGAGAGGAACAGATCCGACGATGGAAAGAAAGAGAAGCAGCAATGGAAAGAAAGGAGTCCCTGCCAGCGAAACACAGACCAAAGAAAGGTAAACTTAGCCACGTTTCTTCTGTGAATGTGTTGGTAGAATAGCTCCTGGCTTGCCTTGACAATTTCACACTAGTCACAAGCAAAGCAGGTGCAAGTCCCAGTTTGGCAGATGAATCCTAAATGTTATTGAGAATCTAATAGTGCAGTATATCCACTTGAAGTCTACACATACACATAGCATTCACCATGGAGTTGCATAGCTATAAGGAAATCTCTTACTTGAAACCAGACTGACCTGAAGCTGTAGTAAAAAGTCACCTATGGGGTTTGATTTGAGGGGTATTAAGAAAGGTTTCTATCTTTTTTTTTGTTACTGATACCTAATGCTCCACTACCAGAACACAAAGTTCTTGTATCAATATATTTATAGCAATTGTGTTTGCATTTTTTAGACCTCAAGAGATTTTTCTTTGAGGTATTATTTTAGGGAACACCCCCTCTTAAAATGGAAGGAACTGCTAAAAGGAAAAAAAATCATAATACTATTTTTTTTTAGTGTGAATGAGTTTTTCATATGCACATATGCAAGGTTACACCACCAATGCTCAGTTCTATTGGATTATTTTGCCCTAGGTGAGAGAGCAAGACCCTGTCTCAAAAAGAAAAAAAAAAAAAAAAAAAAAAAAGACTTAAAGCATATACACATACATACAGAAAAACACACATTGCCTACCCTCCTTACTCCATTCTCACTACTCCCATGCCCTGGCCCTGCTGTTCAGATGTAATCCTTTCCTCATTACCAAAGGAATCTCTGGTAGTTTGAGAGGGCTCTTTTGAGGCCATGGGGAAGGAAATCTTTGTACATTAAGACTTAAAGTAGATCAGGTGTAGGGAGTGGCTCATGCCTGTCATTGCAGCAATATAGGAGGCGGAGGTGAGAGGATCACTTGAGTCCAGGAGTTCTGACCAGCCTGGGCAATATAGTGAGACCCTGTCTTTAGGAAAAATTAAAAATTAGCTGGGCATGGTGGTGCGAGCCTATAGTCCCAACTAGTTGGGAGGCCGAGGTAGGATAATTGCTTGAGCTCAGGAGGTTGAGGCTGTGCTGAGCCGAAATCATGCCTCTGTGCTCCACCCTGAGTGACAGAGATAGATCCTGTCTCCAAAAAAAAAAAAAAAAACCAAACTTAAAACACATACACATATAGATATAGAAAAACACACATTGTCTACCCCTCTCACTCCGTTCTCACTACGCCCACAACTCCGCCCTGCTGTTCACATGCAAAATTTGTCATGGGTGAATACATAAGTTGTGAAAACACAGCACACTTTTCAAGGTCACTTGCAGAGGCCTCCGAGACCAATCTCTTTCATGTTTCATTAAACCAGGAGAATAAAATTTCATAAAATCACATAGGGTTTCAAAGACTGAGAAAATGAATCTCATTTGCATGCCTGATATATACCCAGATTCAAAAAGGAAGTTGTGTAGTGTCCTTTAGTTTTACTGACTTTTATTAAAACTTCTTTCCAATGATGTCTTTATCATGATAAGGAAATAAACATCAATAGATCATTTACTCTTGTTATGATTAATACAACTATTTATGAAGCACCTACTGTTTCAGACACTACATGAAGCACTTTTACATACATAATGCCTAACCTTCAGCAAACTTCTGCAAAGTCAGCGTTGACAGTCCTATTTTATAAATGATGAAACTTAGAGAAGTTCGGTTTTTGTTTGTTTGCTTTTTTGAGATCGAGTCTCACTGTGTTGCCCTGGCTGGAGTGTAGTGGTGCAATCTCGGCTCAGTGCAACCTCTGTCTCCTGGATTCAAGCAATTATCCTGCCTCAGGCTCCCGAGTAGCTGGGATTGCAGGCATATGCTGCCACACCCAGCTAATTTTGTATTTTTAGTAGAGACAGGGTTCCATCATGTTGGCCAGGCTGGTCTTGAACTCCAGACATCAAGTGATCCACCCACCTCAGCCTCCCAAAATGTTAAGATTACAGACCTGAGCCCCACACCTGGCCGTGAAACTTAGATACGTTGACTAATATACGCAAGTTACACCACCAGCTGATGCCCAGTTCTGTTGGATTTTGCATTATTCTGCACAATCCAAAATATCACTTTTCCTCCAACAAATAACATGGCCAAACTGAATCATAACGCTTGTCTTTCTGGACTGGTTTATGCATCTCCTTGGATTCTCTAGTCAGAGTTTTTCAGATATAATTTTGGGCCTCTTCTGGGCACCATGTTCATTGTGAACCTAACATACATGAGTGTAACAGGGTGACCTTGGGAACTGGCAGCCAAGGGGTTCCTGCCACTAGAGTCAATGGCCCAGATTCTGTTAGACTTTGAGTTTCTTGTGTTTGCTGAATTGGTCTCCTTGTGATGACTTAAGACAATAATTTCACTTTCTTTGCTTAAATTTTTTATTTGTAGAGTTTTGGATCTACGTCTCAGAAACCCTATATTAACTTTGCTAGTCAAATGATCATGAGAAAAGTATGCGAGTATATATGGTGAAAGTTCTGTCAATATCTCACATCACATTGTTTACCCCCTTAAATTGAAAACTTGGAAAAATATATTTTGTATTAAATTGGTTCCTCTTCTGACTACAGAAAAGGCAAAGTTTCCTCCACTCCCACTAAAATCGCATAACTTCTCTTTCATCTTTGCTCTGTCTTTGAAGATACGGCCATAGACTGCCCAAAGCAATGTCATGGCTGGTGCTGCCAGTGGTGTTTATCTGTGCTGCAGACCTGCTAAGCCTGTGACCCTTGTGGGTTGAGAGGTCACTTGCACATCTGCTCCCTGAAAGCCTGTGCTTCCTGCCTCCCCCGTCCTGCCTTTCTGGCTAGTCCTGGGCTAAGTGCTGCTTTTCCTTAGTAGTGCTTAGCCACATGGTGGCTTTGAAGGTTGTTCATTTTATTAAAAACATCATATTCCACCCCTGTCATTCCTTGACACCCTCTAGCTTATGACTTAGAAGTTCTTTCATTGTCATCTGGTCATGTTTCCCTATAAATACACAGACCCCTGTGCTGAGTGTTTAGGGAGCATCACTAAAATGGTTGTGTGTTGTACATCATAGGAACTTGTTTACTTTTTTTTTTTTTTTTTTTTTTTTTTTTGAGACAGAGCCTCACTCTGTCATCCAGGCTGCAGTGCAGTGGTGCGATCTCAACTCACTGCAACCTCTGCCTCCCAGTTCCAGGTGATTCTCCTGCCTCAGCCTCCTGAGTGAGTAACTGGGATTATAAGCACCTGCCATCATGCCCAGCTAATGTTTGTATTTTTAGTAGAGATGGCATTTCACCATGTTGGCCAGCCTGGTCTCAAACTCCTGACCTCACGTGATCTACCTGCCTCTGCCTCCCAAAGTGCTGGGATTATAGGCATGTAAACTCTCAGATTTCAAAGACTTGGTAGAAGGAACAGAAAATGCCACATTAATAATTGTATACTCCTTATATATTGAACTGATAATATTTTGTATATCTTGGGTAAAGTAAAATATTTAAATTAATTTCACCTGTTCCTTTAGATTTTATTTTTATTTTTATTTATTTATTTATTTATTTGAGACATAATCTCTTGTTCTGTCACCTGGGTTGGAGTGCAGTGGTGTGATCTCAGCTCACTTCAACCACTGCCTCCTGAATTCAAGTGATTCTCCTGCCTCAGCCTCTCGAGTAGCTGGGATTACAGGTGTGCACCACCACGCCCAACTAATTTTTGTATTTTTCGTAAAGATGGGGTTTCACCATGTTGGCCAGGCTGGTCTCAAACTGCTGACCTCAGATGGGCCTCAGATGGCCCACCAGCCTCGGCCTCCCAAAGTGCTGGGATTATAGATGTGAGCCACCGCACCTGGCCTCCTTTTGAATTTTTTAACGTGGTTACTAGAAAAGTGATATTTATTGACATGGCACACATTTCTACAGTGCTGGTCTAGACTATAATGGTAGCACCAGCCAGCATTCAATATGCTTAACTGGGTATCAGACCCTGAGTGATGAGCTTAAGTATATTATCTCATTAAATAATCACAGCCAAGCCTGAAGTGTGTGTTGCTATGCACATTTTACAGATGAGGAAAGTCATGCTCAGGGACATTCATTAACTTGGCCAAGGCAAACAGTAAGTGACAGTTGGAATAGATCCTGGATCTGATTCTCCCAAAGCCAGCACTGTTAACAAATAAACTACACATAGAGCTTCACTGGAGCTTAATGTCAGTGACTTTTGTCTGAAGGTGCCTTGCATTCATATAAAACATGTGCTTGCATCAGGAATCTGCCATGGGGCCGCCTTCTTGGGTGATTTTATTGGGTAACACAAAGAGAAGACGCCTTGGCTTAGCAGAATTTGTTTCCCAGCATTTGTTTCATGGCATCTGTATCAAGCTGATGGAAACCTAATGCAATAGGCTGGGATCTCGTTCCTATGTGTGGTACCAGAGGGGCTATGCCCTTGAAACAGACCTGGATTCATACAGCTTCGTTTGCTGCATTCTCATTGTTCCCAGGGGGCTGATCCTTAATGCAAAGCCTTCTTTCCTTTTTTGTGAAGTAATGTTAAGGCCACTGGTTTGTGCCATTGACAGTGTCTGCTTCCCTGCCTTTCCCTCTTGAACTCACTGCGTGGAATAGGGCCAGCAGCACAGGGGCATCAGCTGCTGGATTCAGTTCTTATCTTGATCAATTCTTCAGCTGCCTCTGACTCTAGATGCTTGTTGGCGTCTCTCTCTTAGAGTTGCCACTCACTCATGAGTCTCTTGCTCTCTTCCTGTTTCTTTTTCTTCTCTGCCTATTCCTTAAATATCTGTATTCCCCAGGGAGTGCCTCACACTGCTTTGGTGGTTTGTGATTTTGAAATGAGGCTGGGGGCTCATAGACTCCTTTGAAAATTTACTGAAAGCTTGGAGCTAGGAAAACACATTCAGACACCATTCTGTGTATAATCTCACAATGTTCACAGACTCCCTGAAGCTCATTCGAAGACTCCTAGGAGTTTACAGGGCTTAGGA